TCCACCGCAAGTGTACGGTTTGTTAATAAGTAGTAAAATGGAATATGAGTCCAAGTATCAATCCCACAAGGATTGAATTAGTTCGAATTAACCTATTACGACCTTAACCGAAACCCGAAAATCAAATTGAGGTTTTGTACTTTAACTAACGAAATGTAACCGTTGATGCAATTATGAATGAAGAATTATACTAAGTGCAAAATAACTTGAATGCAATTTAACTAGAATTTTATGGAATTAATGGATGTACTAACGCACTAGGATCAAGAATCCCCAAGCAATACCCGTTCAATTGTCAATTATGCAATTTTGACACACAGTTCCACAAAAGATGAATCAATACTCCTATTTTAATTTAGCAATCTCTCTCGAGCAATGCCAAACCTATCCCAATATATGATTCGACTATATTTCTATGACGAAAACTAACATACCGAAATGCATTATAAATTCTCGAATATCCAATGATTCATTCAAGGCATAGAGGTATATTTCTATCCCCTATTGGAGCCTATGATGATTTATACTATGTCAAACCTATTTTCCTTCTTTCAAATGCATAAAACAGGCCACCACAATCATATAATTACGTGCACAATAATCATATGAAAATAAAAACGTAATAAATCAATCAAATCCGGAACTTTTGTTCAAATACGTCAAAAATCCAAATCAACAATTAAACAGAGTATTACAAGGTTCATCGATCTCCTAACAATGATAAATCTAGCCTAACATGCTAAAAAGAATAAAACATAAAAATATCATCTTCAATCCAATCTTCACTTGGCGCGATGTTGTTCTCTAGTTCTATCCTTCGTTTCTCCTTCAAGATCTCTCAAAAACATGCAAAAACGGCGTCCCCTATGTTCTGGTTGAGTTTTTGTATTTATAGGACCCTAAAAATATTGTTTCCATAATAGTATTGGCGGAAGAAGGAATCAACGATTTCACCTTAATGTTGCTCTATGCGGTCGCGGTCGCATAGAGTAAATTTTTGGTACCTTTTTGTTTTAGATATGCTACTATGCGACCGCATAGATGGTAGCACTATGCGATCGCATAGTACTACCAACTATGGCAGATGTGCGTTTTGGTTTTCCCACTTGCATCCTTCACTTCTTGGCATCTTCTCTTCATTCTTTTCATTTCATCATCCCACGATATCGTCAATTGGAAATTGGCTCAATCAATTTCTCGATTTGTTCATCGGTTCAACTTTTTGATATTTTCACTTTGGTCCCTGAACTTTCACTTTGCGTCATTTTAGTCCTTTTCGCGTTTTTCTCCTGAATTTCACCATTTTCTTCGTTGTTCCCTACAATTCACAAATGTACGAGATTAAGTCACAATTCAATCATTTTGTTCGTTATTAAATCATGTTTGTAACATAAATAAGTGTGCAAAAACAGACTTTTCAGATGTTCCCATCTTACTTTACAGCACCATATCTGCGTCCTCCTCCTCCAAGATAGATGCATTGTCTAACCCCAAGCAGTTAGTCGACTTTGCTACACCTTTTGGACAATTTCTCTTCACGTGACCAGTCTGACCGCAGTTCCAACAAGTTACTTTCTTTCTCCTGGAGTTGCACTTCCCCCCTTTTCAGTCTCAAGCACGGCATTGTCAGATGAAATATTTTGTCCTCCTATTCTTCTTTCTTTTGAGATCAAGTTGCTTGTCACTTTAGCGAAACTCACTGTTTCCTTCCCATACAACAATATTGGCTTAATAGGTTTATAGGTAGATGGAAGAGACCATATGAGTCGTAGTGCCTTATCCTCATCATCTATCTTCACTCCAATAGCCTTTAGTTTTGAAACAATCTCATTGAGAACACTCAGATGGTCTGAGATTTTTGTAACTGCCTCCATGCGCAACCAATGAATTTGCTCCTTTAGGTACAACCGATTTGAGAGACTCTTCGTTTGATATAGTTCTTCTAACTTTTCCCATAGTTCCTTTGCACAAGATATTCCATGAATATTTGCAAGAACGTTTTTAGCCAAACAAAGACGTATCATGCTTGCAGCCTTCAAATCCAATTCTTCCCAATTCTCATCGCTCATACTGGATTCAGCTTCCTTGCCAGAGCTCTTGGTTGGTTTTCCTTTCAAAGCCTTGTGCAGTCCAGCTTGAATCAATAAATCTCTAACTTGTGCTTGTCACATGCCAAAATTGATTCCTTCATCAAATTTCTCCACGTCATAGTTTAACGACGACTTATTTTTCTGTTGTTCCAATACTCCGAACCACCTGAAACTCTGATACCACTTGTTGGAAAATTTCACGCCTATTCCCTTTATTTCTATTTACCCGTGGGATTTTTTGTTAATAAGAAGAATACTAGCAAACAAGAAAAATAAAGAATATAATGCATAAATCAAACAGACCATCAAAACTTTTCACTATATGAAAATTGTTACAATCATATAGAATTTCACTCACCAACTCAATTCTCAAGTATTACAAAGAAAATATATAAACTCTAATTTTACTACACCTACTTTTTACCTAATGTACGAAAAGTCTCAAGATTATAGGCTCAAAATATATTCCTCTCAGATCAACTCTCTGGCCACTCCCAAAATAATGAAATACGTTCACTATTTATAGGATCAATAATCAAGTAGAAGAGTTTAATTTAAACTCAAACAAAACTTCTTTAACTCAACAAGGATTTCTTCATGTGTAAAACTCCAAAATCGATTGTAAATTGGAGATCAAATTCTACAAGGATTTTGCTCTCAACTTTAATTAGAAGTCTTCCATACATAACTACCTTTTATTAATTGCAATAGAAGTCTTCCAACTTTTGACTTTTGAGACATTACCCAACATATTGTGCCTCTTGTTGGTTTTAATTTGAGCAATTTAGCAGAGATTTTGAAGATCCTCTCTTATTTGTAGTGAAGAACATCTCAAATCTTTGGGAGTGGAGAAGATTCTTCATATTGGTTCTATTATGGTTTGAGCTTTTTCTGGTTTGGGTTCCATTTTGGGACATTTGGGATTTCAATTGAATGTAAATCCTTCTTTACATTTTGGGACAAAATTGCAGAATAGAAAACTTCACCTAATACATGGACATTTGCATAATTGAAAGCTTTACAATTGGGTTCCATTCTAGTGGCTGGCACGGACCCATGATTTTTTTATTTTGATTTGTTTGTGGTGGTGGTCGGGTGGAAAAAGAAGAAGAGATTTTTTTTTTTGGTTTTTTTAATTTACTTTTGTTAATTATTCAATGTTAGGAAAATGTAAAATTACCATTTTACCCTTTTTAATTCAGTCATTTTTTTATTTTCTAGCTCAACTAACAGTCAATCCCATCAATTTGTCCTTGTGGTGCAACAAAATGAAAGGTTTGGAATTGTGGTTGGCTCAAAGTAAAGATTGAGGTAAAATCTGCAAAAAAGTAAAAGATTTGTGACAGCTATTGCAAATATCCCTAAAAATTACATTTGGGGTCTTTAACATTTACACGATAAAATGCTTTAGTTTTTAACTAATTTTCAATTAGATGTACATGGTCTCAACAAACTTATAAAACACCAAGGATTTTGACAAATATGGAAAAAAAAATAGTTATCCCTCGAGCTTGCTCAATTTGCATACCAATTATTGATCAACTATTGATCCCTTTCAGATGGTCTGCTGCCTAGATGTCAAAACATGACTACATCAATACCTTACCTTGTCTCACTTAATTTGTCACGAATATGATTTTTATCATTTTTTCTAGCAAATATTTTTCAAAAAATTCAATACAATTATGTCTTTCATGGTTCATCAAACCACGTTCATTTTTGGTATACCTTTTTCCTTATCTAACTTGTTCTGCTAAGATTCCAGTAAGTAAAATCAGGTTAAATAGTCTTGAGAAGTCAAATAATTATTTAATTTATATTTGTTGACTTGAGAGATCATGCTATAAATGAGTTTTCTAAAGGAAACGAATAAGTAGGCACATTTACATTTTATGGCTGATTTACATATATTGATTTATCAGCATTTCAATCGTGTAACACTACTTGAATTTGATTTAGTTCAACGTAATTCTATCCACCTCCGTTTATCTGACTAACATAATTTGATGACATGGCTATCAATCAAGGATTGGCACCCTACATGTTCGTTAGATGCTAACGGGGCGAAAGATTAGTTCCATTTGAAATGACTATATTTGATATGATTTCAACTAGGAAATTGGACTTTAATAATTCGGACAATAAGCTTTAATTTGATTTCATTCAAGATAACTCAATCCACCTCTATTAATTTGACAGTTATTTAGTTATTTATTATGAGTAAGATCAAAGTGGTTCTTTTTATTGTTTTATATCATTTATTTTTTAGTATTTTTATTTTCAAGTCGAGTATAATACATTTATTTTGAGCCCAATTTTTTGCTAGTATATTTTTTATATAATTATTCAAAAAAATATAATAAATAAAAGAACTTGTGATTTTGTGAGTTTTACCTCCTTTTAAAATTTGACTAAAACCTCCTGTTAGATTTAGCTTGAATAAAATCAAATTAAACAATGCATTTTTTCCAAATTTTATTTTTAACAATGATGTTTTCATTTTTCATAAAATAATTATACACGTATTTCAAAAAATCTTCCTTATTTTTTAATTACACACTTTCCAAAAAAATATTATTTCATAATGCATTTTACTCTAAAATGAGGATCAAACAGAAGCTAAATATAGCTACTCAATTGAACAAAATTGAATATTTGTTATTTGATTAAAATTAAACCAAAGTATCGAGCTTGGACACCAGGTGATCGATCTGGGTATTTCAATACCTGAAACTTGCAATAAATTTCAAGTATTTCATAATTAAAATTATTTGAATCCATAACTACTAGAATCAAACACAAATTCAAACTCGAACCTAGAGTAACAAAAATATAAAAAAATAAAATATATCATCAAATACATATTTGATACTTTTTTCAATCCATTATAACTATGGCACCAAATAGTATCTAATATCTAACATAGTGTAAACATACCCAAAGAATAGACCAAAAATTAAAAATTGAAAATTAACAATATGAAAATACTAGATTCTAAAATGTTAAAAACTTATATAAAAACAGACAAGTTTGGTTCCAAAGTCGGGTATCACATTTTCAAATCAAGAACCGAGATTCGATCGATTTTCGGCTCCAATTCTTAGTTTTTTCTCGTTCAAAAGATTCGATTCCAGTTAAAATACCCACAAATCTAAAGTATAATACGTCAGGTGAAATTTCCCTATAATTGAGTACTATTCAACCTTCCATACTTCAAATATTTCTTTCCAAACTCAACTTACCCTTGGAGAAGAATTAAAGGCACTACGAATAAAGAAAGGAATAAATAAAATGAAGCAAACAATTTTTACTAAACATCAGGTATGATCGATCAAGCAGTTTCCCTCTGATGAAGAAGATGAGCGCGATGATTTGCAGAGTTGGATGAATTATAGCAGGATTTAACATTCAATAGATTCTTGACTACTATTTGTCCTCCCTTTGGCAACACTTTTTTAAAACTCCTTACTTTCCTTCCTTTCTTCACTATCTTCTCGTTGCTTAGAGACTCGTCATTACTTTCGCCCGACTCCTACAAAATAGATAAGATTACGACTTTTTTCTTTTAATTTGTCTATTATTATTATATCTAACATATTAAACATGTCATAATCGGTGGGTGGGGATGATAAACTTTACCTTTGATGAAACCACATCTTCGAAGGAATCACTAGTAACTGCATTAGGTAATAACGACCCAATTAAGAATCAATATATTGTATCTTTTTCGGCACAAAACAAGAAGCAAAAAATGTGATATGTAGCGGCAGAGCCAGAATTGTCCCGTAGGAAGGAGAAAAAATGTTGGATATTTTCCAAATTTATTTAAAAACCAATTAAAATTAAGAAATTTTTTTCTTTTTTTTTATTAAAATCATGAAAAAATGTTGAAGTTATCAAAAAGTTTGGATTTTCAAAACGACGTTAGAAGAGATTTTAAAAGTTACCATAGTTGTTGTCATCTCTGATATATACCCGGAAACTGGGTGAACCTGGACCGTCATTCCTTAGCATTCTCTCATCATAATCTTCCTCTTCTACATCCTCAAACTCTCCATCCGTCAATTCATCCCCAATCTTGTTAGTCTTTTCCTTGGCCGGAGCCTCTTCCGACGTGCTTTTTCGAGCATCAAAGAACTTAGAAGCACTTAATCCATCCCCTATACTATCATGCATAAGCAATACTTTCTTGGAATTATCACAAGTCGAAATAGGGTCCGTCAACGGAGCCTGGGAATGCCTGCGTAATGCAAAAGCCTCCAACTTGTAGAGGAAGAAGGGGCGGAGCCTGGCTGGGGAAGCGACGCCATTGGCATCATAACTTGAAGCGCCACACCCCATTAATTATTGCGTATATTGATGGAGAAAATGAGCATTGAGAGAGAGCCAAAGAGGCCAAAATGAGTATGTGTTAACATAATATAATAGTATTGAAGAAGATCAATATAACTAGCTATTTTTATATAATGATAGAAACACCAATATAACCTAATTCCAAGTAAAACTTGAAGTATGAGAATTAAGATTCTAACACTCACTACAAGAAATATGAGTTTTACCGACCAAAAACAAGGTCGATAAAAGTCCAATATTAGCTGGTAAAATCATTCATTGACCAGAAAGTGTTGGTTGAAACTGGTCGCCAAAAGCTAGCCAAAAAAGTCTTCACCGACTAGAATACATATTAGTTAGGAAAGTAGAGATTTTACTTAACCAAGTCATTTTAGTCGGAAATCACAAAACAATGGTCACAATCAAAAGCATCAAGCAAAGTAAATGCAAGGTTCACACACACACACACACACACACACACATAATTGCTGAAATGATGGTTGAGTCTATGTAAGTTCATCGAATTAAAGCATCCACCTAAGCAAAAATACAAAGAGAACTAGGAAAACAATGAAAGAAGAAATAAAAAGAAAATACCAATATATTCTCCACTCGTCCCACTTCATCAATTCTAGCTGGTCGTGTCACCCTCGATTGATGAACTTGACGTTCGTAGTTCTCATTTTTTACTTGAAATTTGAAGTTCACCATTGACGATTATGATTTCAATGTTACTCTATTCAATTTATTTAAAATCTTAAAGGTCTGCTATTTTTTGTGACCCAACTGCAAATAATTTTTTATTTTTTATTTTTTTGTGTGTCAAAATAAAATTAGTGAAGTGTACAAGAATTGGATAATATCAGGAAACACACATGAAGAAATTTCAAGCATTCACTCAAACAAAATATAAAGGGAAATAGAAATATGGAAAAAAGAGAAAAATGAAAAGATGAAATAAAAAAATGAAAATTATATTATCCACTCCGTCGCACCCCATCAACCCTAGCTAGATGGAGGTTCCACCTCCCCTGATAGATGAATCTTGATATCAACTTCAAACTCGATAATTGTGATTTTTTTTTAATTACCATTAGTACTCGAAAACTCAAAGTCCAACATTAGCGATTTTCATTCTATATACATTAAGTTAGTGAAACGTACCACTCTTGAGCAAGAATTGAGTACTAAGTAATGTTAAACGAGAAAAGGGGAATTTTTATTTATCGTAGTATTCAGTACCGTTTAGTAGCGGGTAACGTACACAGATGTAAACATAAAGTAGTACTCACTAATCTGATATCAATGAGAAATTTGCATTACTGAAGCTTAATCCACATGCCATAACTTGGAATCCTTTAAGTTATAATGGATTCCGGTACACATTTTTTCTTTTGTTAATCTGTTTTAATTTCCCTCTTTTTCGTCTGCAGTTTTGTCAATCGACAAGAGTAGTATCATCAGTCGATTTAATATCCAGTCTAATTAATGTGACAAAAAGCAGGCTAAGTTTTTCCATTTTTTTAATGGAAAAGGAAAGAAATATAGCCACATCTTCTTGGAGAAGAAGCAAATTGCAGATAACCTGTGTGTTCCTTTCATTTGAACATTCAAAATCTTAAATAATTTGTCAAACTAATTGCGGTGCCACAATTTCATGTTGTTTGGGTTAGAATTTCTTGCATATCTTCAATTGGTTATACCATAAAACCTATCGAATCCCATCAAATGAACACAATAAATTATAATCCATTCTTAATTTACAGTATATTTCTCTCAGTTGCTTTTTTGCCAAACAGATTAATTTCTGTAACAAATCCGACACCCCCCTCCCCAACCACATACAAACACGAAAAAGAAAGGGAAGAAAAGAAAGAGGAAAATTACTTTACGGCTACTTTTCAATCTAATAAAGATGGTGCGATGCAAATTTGTAGTATTTTCGCTAGCTGCATCTCCCACCTTGTCACAATTATTTCTTCGCAAAATTAAGTCTTTTTTCATAGAAAAGGTAACAGATTCATTACAAGAATTGCGTTCTGATACTTATCTATTACCAGTACATTTAAAGTCAAAGGGAATATGATAAGAAAATTGTATACAAGTTGACTTTAATGCAAACCAAGCTTTTGATATATTTTTCATCAAACAGAAGAATATTACCTCTATCTGAGATTCTGAAAGTACATTAAGCATTTTAGTCATCAGAGGATGAATTTGAAGAGACATCAGTAAGAACACTAGAATCATAATATGAAGAAGAGGATGAGGAAGAAGAAGAATCCGAATCCTCAGACGATGTTTCAACCTTGGTGAAATCTTGTAAACTGCTACCAATGCCATCAGCATGGTTGCTTCTTTTGTAAAGAAATATATGACACAAAACCCAATTTCCAATTTGGGTAAAGGAATCCTGAAAAAGATTGATAAGCATTGATTAAAAGTAATAAGAACCTCCAAACTAGAATTGGCTAATAGATAGCATGACTAGATAATGTTAAGGATTAAGCCTATTTGCGAATAAAATGTAGTTTTTTTAAATTTTACAATGTATTCCCTATCGGGTAAGCACCTTTACCTCGAAGTAAGGCCGAGCCTCCCTCCTAAAATTAACTATGTTACGTTATCTCTTCATTTTCAATGAAATAGTGGTCTATCACGAATCTTGAATGTGAGAAATATTAAAGCAACACCTAATACATGTGTATGCATAGAGTGTCATCTGTACTCTCTTGAACCCAAAATAAACCTAAAATGTTACCATATGCAATATTGGGTATCGATGGATCGCGTGCAAGAGTGGGAAAGAATACGGAATAAGCCAGTAAAAATTACCTGAGAATTTGCCCCCTGTGTGTTTCCCACACGGGCAATGTGATATTCGTGCATGAGCCAATCAGTTCTTGAATTAGTTTGCGAGTTCTTTCCCTTATAGAATACGAACGTCTTCTTAATTCCCACTATTGGCATCCAATTCGAACACATTATCTGTTTGTCTATCCCAATCGCCTCCCAGTAACCACAGCTAGTCGCTCGACTCATTGGGTTTCCATTTTCCTTGACGCTGAACAAGTACTTGTCCTGGTCCGAATCACCTACATATATGGTAAACTTTGTCATTAGCTGTTATACACTCACTAGAAACAACTCAGCATTACAGTAACAGATTTATTTATTAAGGTCTAACATACCAAATAAGCCATCACGCACGAGACTAAAATGACAAACCTGGCAATTCCCACGGATCAAATTTGCAAATGCTGATTTCTGGAATGACAGAAGCTGGCAAAGGATATGAAAATATTTTACGGGCCAAGTACTGGAAAACTATCTCTTCATCAGTCGGCTCAAACCGAAATCCCGGAGGCAATTTAGTACTCACGCCATCTTTAAAAAAATTCAGCTTGTCTCTTGCAGACATTCTAGCTGGACAGTACAATTGATCCCTCTACGTGTGACTTGTGTGTTTGAGAGAGAGAGAGAGAGAGAGAGATTTGAAACATGCAAGAGGGGTTTCCTTAGAGAGGCTTTTTATAGTAATGATAGTAGGGCTCTGGAGGTGACATTTGCTATTTCTTTTCTAATTAAAGCTGCCAGTGCTTGTGGTGGCGTGTTTTCCTAATATAACAACTAATTGAACAAAGGAAAAATTAGGAGGGTATCAAGGCCTTCTCAAGAACAATGAGCAATGAAAGTTTTAGAATTTGAGCCAATTGTTATTAATGTTAAAAATGAGATGATGGGCAATAAGAAAATAACAATGGCGAGAATACAAAATTTACGTGAAAAATCAATTTGAGAAAAAAACCACGAGTAGAGAAGGAGAATTCATTAATAATCAATAATGAAGAATTACAAAGGATCTCTTCAGACAAAACTAATAAGATGGATAATTGGTTAATCTCATTATGTGTTGTACACCACATATTTTTAATTAAATTTTTTTTAACAAACCAGGAGAATATAATATAATAGATCTAACAAATAATGGAATATTTGAGTTGGAATATGAGAGAAAAAATTGCCAAAATAGCGAAACCCTCTCTTTATTCGTCTTGAACTCCTTCAAAACTACTTTAAATCATACTACCAACTCCCAAAAGAACTCCCTATTAAATTTTCAATAGAATTTAGGCCACACCTAAATTTTAACAAATCTTCACATTGACACTAATTTCACTGTATGGAACAAAACTTCAATTTTCAATAAGTATTCTCCGTCTAGAGATGAATTTCATTGCAAGGAATAGAACTTAACTCTTCAACAAAAATTTTCTAGCAAAATTCCCCACTTCTTCCACAAAAGTCCTTAAGAGAAAACTCAAGAAATGTCAACTGAATCCAAAAACTGCTCATCGACAGAATCACATTTGGTACCAAATTTGCTCAAATTATCACCATGAGCAACAAAATTTCAACTCCATCCGAGTCAACACTTATCAAAACATAAGTAACCAAATCAACCTCACTAAACCTCTCATGAAGTCTAATATCTATTTTTCAATTTAGTGATGTTTCATCAAACCTGATCATAGAAGCCTGCAAGATACATAATTGGAACCTTCTCTGCCCCTTTATCACAACTCGATCCTTATGTTGCTTCTCCTCCAACGTCCAAACAATAATTTGTCATAACAAAAATATGGTGTTACGATCCAAAAAAGGTATATCAAACTTCATAGTTGCCATGTCGAAAATCAAACCCCGATCTAAGTTGATCAGACCTCGTTGTAATACAAAATCGAACTGGCTCTCCTAGAAACTGCTGACATAGCACTAATACCACTTGTTAAAAATTGAGCCAATTATTATGAACATTAAAGTTGAGATAATGGGCAATATTAAAATAATAATAACAAGAATATAAAATTTACGTGAAAACCCAATTTGCGAAAAAATCACAAATGGAGAAGGAAAATTTACTAATAATCAGTAATGAAGGATTAAAAAGGAACTCTCTGGACGAAACTAATAAGTTGGACAATTTGTCAATTTCAATATGTATTGTACATCATATGTTTATTATCAAAGAATCACTAACGCACTAAAAATATAATACAATGAAGAGTTTAATGTACGGTGAAATTCAAATATAATAGGTCTAACAAATAATGGAGTATTTGATTTGGATTTGGAGAGAAAAAACTGCAAAATCGCAAAACATTCTCGTTATCCGCCTTGGACTCCTTCAATACCTCTTTAAATCATACTACCAACTCCCTATAGAACTTCCAATTAAATTTCCAATGGATAAAAAAAAAGAATAAAGAATGGAAACAAAATTTCATGTTCTTGAATTATACTTCGTGTCATCACGAGTCTCGTTAAATGTTTGAACACTAAAAATATAATACAATGAAGAGTTTAATGTACGGTGAAATTCAAATATAATAGGTCTAACAAATAATGGAGTATTTGATTTGGATTTGGAGAGAAAAAACTGCAAAATCGCAAAACATTCTCGTTATCCGTCTTGGACTCCTTCAATACCTCTTTAAATCATACTACCAACTCCCTATAGAACTTCCAATTAAATTTCCAATGGATAAAAAAAAAAGAATAAAGAATGGAAACAAAATTTCATGTTCTTGAATTATACTTCGTGTCATCACGAGTCTCGTTAAATGTTTGACAGATGTCTCATCTTTTGCCAAATAAAATATTCTATTATTTTCAAAACAGGAAAAAAAAAAAAAAAAGGAAAGAAAGAAAAGAAAGAAAAACTTTAGCCTGGAAAGAATACACACACACAATATCTGTAAAATCTTGGTCATATTTTCGACTTAATTTTCGTCTACTCAAAATTTGTTTTCGTTGCTGCACAATGTTTTCTATGGATATTGTGATTACTTTTCTTAAAAAACAAGTCAAGATTTACTTCATGGAGAAGTAATTATGAAAATTAAGTTTGACAAAATAACTTAAAAGAGAACTTTACTTTTGCGTAGTCATGACATCAAAACATGCAGCCATTGATTTAATTTCTCAATCTTTATTGAATTTAATTGCATTAGCTTTACAATCTTTCGGTTTAAATTATGGGTTTCCTGACATCTAAGTTGAGTTGTCTTTAACTAGGTGAGATGCACATTCACTTACTGAATTAAATTATAATTAATTATTTCTGGTTCCAAAAGAAAGTGAGAAAAAAGTTATACTTTCTTCAAAAGCGAAGCAAATCTGTCAAAAGATACAGGAATGGAAGAAGATTGCCACTGACTTGACATAGGATTGGATAGGTGCTTTCCTTCGTCGTGAAGATGTGCTCTTCTTCCTCATTTTAATTGAAATAAAAGTCATAAAGTCAGCTTAACAAATTTAACTAATAAACCTACTGCATGCAGTATACCCCCCCCATGAAAAAGTAAATATTTGTTCCTTTTTTTTTTTTTTTGTGAAAAAATTGCAGTAGCAGCGATCTCTAACTATTAATTTTTTTTTTTTATTTTACTATAACCTTCAATTTATATTAACAAAAAATTCCAAATCTTTGAGAAATTAGCTACCGTGGTCCAAACATCAATTTGACCGTTGACCAGAAATTTGATTTTATCTAAATATAAAAAAAAGCAAAATAGTAACTTTATAAACCTAAAATCATTAAGGTCCTGTTTGAGAGTGATTTTTCATCCAAAATAATTAAATTTTTGATCGTCATTTTACTATTTTAATCGTAATGTTTAACTTATTCTCTCTCACACGTGACCCTCACTTTTTTCCTAATGATCGAAAAATCAATTTTCAAAATCATTATCAAACATGACCGAAAAAAAAAAAAAAGAAGAAGAAAAGAATAGAAATAAAAAAGGTACTGTTGTCTCGCCCCCACACCTGACCTACACCATTTTCGACCCCCACGGAAAATAATCACCGCAGCCGTTGCCACCTGCCAGCTTCCTCTCCTTCGGCTCTGGTGATTACCCGCCTGCTAATCCAGCAATGACCCACACGGATATATTATTTCTCGTAAGGTGTTGCTGCTATCAATATTTGACAATTATTTTTAAAAAAATTAATAAAATTCACTTCCTCTTCAGCAAACTCGGTAGGAACCACCACTACCACTCCCAATCGAGGTTGCCTCCACCGTACACAGTTCTCATTTCAAACAAAACATTCCTCTTTTATATTTAGCCACTAACACCACCCATACAAAACCGCAGCCACCCAACTTCCACCACCTGATTTGTGAATTTAGGGAGAGAATTTCATTCCCTGAATTCCCAATGTTATTTGCAAAATCAATGAAAATTTATCCGCCCTGATTTTATGAATTTAGGAAGGGATGCGGGGAGGGGGAGGGGCTACTTCCCCTAATTACGACAAAATTGGGAGGGAGAGGAGGGTTTTCTCTTGATTTTGCGAATTTAGGGGAATGAGACTTTCTCCCTAAATTTGCAATAATATGGAGGAGAATCGATTTGTTATTCCAAATTCTAGGGTGGCTCAGAAAGGAAAAGTATCATTCAATTTTGCAATTTTGGGAGAGGAAGAATGGGAGGGACATGGAAGAAATCTACACTAACAATGCAAAATTTAGGAGGGTATTTCCCCCTACCAGGTACATTGGATTAAAGAGGTGCTGCTGGTATGGAGGCGACGGCAGTATTGTGGTGAAGGTGATGCAATGTGGTGGTGGATGGGTGAATTGCATAAGGGCCGGGCAGAAGATGATTTTTATTATTTTTTTGTTAGATCTATTCTATTCTTTTCTTTTCTTTTTAAATATTTTAGGTTAAATTTGTAAAGTTACCATTTTGCCCATCTTATATTTGAATAAAATCAAAATTTTTGGTCAATTCCATCCATTTAGATTTCGTCTGCTAATTTTTCTAAGGTTTGAAACCTTCGTTGACACAGACTGAAGGTTAGAGTAAAATCTACAAACAAAAAACTCAAAGGTTAGAAATTCTTGCCGCAATTTTCTTAAGTTTTAATTTAAACTCATACACAAGGGGCATGTCTCAAGACTTTGGTGTGAGTTTGGACAACTTAAGTTTTAATTTAAACTCATCAAAAATACATTTTATCCATACACTTTGTATGACTCACAATTTAATAACTACTTATAATTAACATATTTCATAGAAACCACTATCTATAAGCACTTAAAATCTCTACCAAACATTCTTGTACATAAAACAATTAACCTTTTTCACTTATCTCTTTAAATTTATCAGATTATTTTCTTCACTCTAATTTACAGCATCACTCGACTGCTATTGCTCAACTTTTTGTGACAAAGTCATCGTCACTATTGGCATGATGAATCTGATTCGATCTCAAATTCTCAATTGGCGTTTCAAGCTAATCAGGATGGCTATCCCAGCTCCCACTTCTTCTTCTCCAACTACACCCAGTACTTCTGCTTAGGCCTGAAGTTAAAACATTGAGTTCACTATTTTAGTCCATATCATCGTCAAGTCTAAGTTGTCCTTGATATTGGCTTTTACCGCTCATAGGCTCATTCCACACAGGCTTTCTCCCAGTTTCTACATCGTCCTTTGC